TTTTCTCATATGCAGAAGCTAGAGAGAAGTAAGGATTAAAAAAGGGCAATCTCATAAAAATCAAAGGGAGAAGAGTGGAGTAAAAAAYGRGAATCAAGGAAAAGAAGGGATGGAAAAGGAGAAGTAGTGGGGATTGAAATGGAGTAAATTATKTTACATGCATTTATGATTATATATAACTATAACTCACAAATAAAAACATAAGAAGTTTTTTAAAAGATGTGCATTTCATATCAAAAAAGAAAGTCTTGAATGCAAAGAACATAGAATTGAATTTGTGAATAAAAGTTAATTTCTTGACTGCTTTTCAGAGGCAAAATTAGCTAATAACATTCTCTTTGTTTGTTTGTTTTTATCTGTGAAGTCATATAACCACGATRGAACTAAGAAATTATTGACAAAATATGGACAGTATTAGATAATCCTTGGTTCATAAAATGTTCTGTCACTTTCATTTCTTTTATTTTGGTTAAGCATCTCATTTTCCATTTAGAGCATATACCAGCACCATCCCCCACCATTCACCACCAATGAATCAAACTGGAAAAGTTATTTAATGTCTCAAAGGCTCAGCTTCCTCATCTATAAAATGAGTATAATTATATCTGCCTCACAGTGATCTTCTAGGAATTTAATAAGATAATACGTGTGTCCACTCCATAGAAAGCACTCAATAGGGTTAACTATAACTTTGTTATTGCCTTAAATACATTTTAAAAGTGCTTAGGGGAAGCACTATAGTATCAGGAAGTATATCTGGCTCAGATATCTTTATAATCTCCAGAGCCCAGCCCATTGGTTTTTACATTATAGATACCAAATCAATGTATGTTAAATTTGATTGAGTTGAATCCATTGTGCTGAATCTGATTTTTCCCATGAAGAAGGGGAAGAAATGACTTGTTATAAGAAACAAAGAATTCTCTTACATGAAAAAGTAGACTAGAAACCTGCATTCTTCCCAAGCAGAAGTTCCACTAAACTGCATGGCCCTAGYACCCTATTCTGTGGTCTCTGTACACTATCCTTACAGTTCTGAGATAGACACTATTAATAGACCCTTCACCAAGTTGAGCCTGGCTAGGGGTTTTCTGAGGCCACCCCTCCATTGTCCCTGCTGATAGAGAACAGACTTGAGTRGTGGGAACATGAGTTTAAAGGAATAATTCTATTAACAGAGCCCACTGTGCTAGACCCCACATACTTTCTTTTTTTAAAAAGAAAGGAGGCTGGCTTTGAACACTTGATCCTCCTACTTCAGCCTCCCAAACCACTGGGATTACAGGCATGTGCCACTGCACTCAATTTAATACAGCAATTTACGGCTGGGGACATAGCTCAGTTGGTAGAATGTTTGCCTCACATGCCCAAATCCCTGGTTCAATCCCCAGCACCACAAGAAAAGAAAGAAAGGAAAGGCAATTTACCTGCAGCCCTGCCTGATAAGTTATTCCCCCTAACCACAAAATCTTTAAGAATAGGTTCCAGTTAGAACCAGCAGCATGAGCCAAACTAACCTAGGGTGGGGTGGGGACTTGAAAGTCTGATGCCATACTGAAAGTCAAAAGGAGGACCTGGGCAGGACTCTCTCTCTCGAAACTTCCCTGAGATCCCCAATAAAACCAGAGGGCAGGAAGGGCATGCTGTCCCTCTCCCATCTGAAAGAACCCACTCTCTCCTTTGAGGGTATCCCCATTTCCCCCTGCCTATCCTTTGGATACACTTGTACCTGTTACTCTGAGCAACATGTCTGAAATTTTTCTGGCTTGATGTAAGAATGGGTCTCCATGCTGCCTCACTTTCACAGCAGGCCTCTGCCCTGTAACAATGGCCAGCTCTGAACTGGTAGGCAACTCTGGAGAGAGGAGGAGGACTAGAAAAGATGACACTTTAGCATGCATGTCCTTAACAATTTCCTAATGAAGAGATAGGGGTTTTTTGTTTTGCTTTGTTTTGTTTTCAAGTAGATAGAATATTTATTTATTTATTCTTTTTAGCTATACAGGACAGTAAAATATGTATTTTGACATATTATACATACATGGAACCTAATTTCCCATTCATGTGGTTGTACATGATGTGGAGTTACACTGGTTGTGTATTCATATATGAACACAGGAAAGTTGTCTGATTCATTCTACTGTCTTTCCTATTCCCATCCAGTTTTTATATTTGTAAAGCTTTCTAATCTTTGAAGCTAGGAAGGAGGATAGGGAAAGGTAAGAACCAAAAGTACAGGTTGCTAACAGTAGAGCTGGGTGGGCCAGCCAGGTCCCCACAGGAAGGGGCAGAARGTGAGCCCAGGTCAAGCCTCCAGAATGGCCCTCAGCAGTGCCATCTACTGTGCCAGGGCTGTGTTGAGGGACAGGAGGATGGGATTCGGCTCCCCGAAGGGGCTACACAAAAGAAACTCTCTTCAAATACAGGCATTTATTTGTAGAAAAGCATCCTTTTTTGCCTTCCAGGTAAACTGAGTACCAAACATTAAACTAAAACAAGGACTGACTCCTGCAATGGAATTCCTTTGGTAACTGGAAACAGTTAAAAATGGTGACTGTGCTATCCGCCTAGCAGCAAAACCTGGTTGAAAAAGAGCTGATGAAAACACTACCCAAAATCCTGTGTTTGCTCTTCCTTCTCCATTCACAAGGGTGCTTCACTAGAGCCAGCTGTGAGAGCACAGAAGAGTGACTACAAGGCACCCCCAAGAACAGGGAAGTGAGAGAAGAAGGCAGTCTGTCTCTGGGGGTTCAGTAAAGAAATCAAGATATCACAGTCAAGAGACCAAATAGCTCCCAGGCTGTGAGAGGAGAAAGTAAGCTGATTAAATACATTAACATATCTAAAGGGAAAATGTTTTAGTCTCCAGGGGCAGCTGGTCAGCTGGAAGGCCTAAGAAAAAGAGAATTCCAGTGGAAAATGCCAAAGGTGTCCATCCATGCAGTCCAGGGGTCACCTTGCAATCTGTCTGGTAGAAGACAAAGATTTATTTTGAACCAATAAAATTCCAGGCACTATGTGAACTTCCTTAACTTTCCAAGAATGGCTGCACTATTGAATCAAATAACAGACAGGCTGAGCTATGGAAGGCTGTGGCTCTGAAACTCTGAAACTCTAACTGACCTTGCTAGGATCCACACTCCCTGCAACAGGTGGCCAATAAAATCTGCTTCCCACCTGCCTGCCGGCCTTCAAGAAGATGATGGAGGGCCAAAAGATAGAGGGAAGAAAACCCCTCCAACTCTGTGTAAGGTGTGACATAGCATCTTGGCTTTCTGAATAGGTCCTATGATCTGAGTTAATATAAATGCATCCTGGAAGACAAAAATAGTGTCTCTGTGTGTTGACAAATATGCTTTATAGACATCAAAATAACAACAACAGAGGATTCTAGAAATGGGCCAGCCTGGCCAGCCAGGTCTCCACACCTCAGCACTGTGTGCAAAGTTTTGCTTTCTTTTCAAAGTTTCACATAAGCCCGGGGCCAACTGAGATCAGTTCATGATTATTCTCTAAGATGTTTGATATAAACATGTAATTTTTCTTAYTCAGCGTCATTATTAATCAAAGACATGCAAATTAAGAAAAAAATTGCAAAGGGAAAATTGGCACCGGGTAAAAGCTAAAAGGCATTCTCATTTGCTGCCGGTGTGTATATAAACTGGAAATATTCAAAAGTCTTAGAAATATGTACGCCTCTGACCCAGCAATTCTCCTTACAGGAATTTAGCCTTTCTCAATTAAAAACATGAGCAATTATATAACCACAATGATGGGTTTCGGAGTATTTCATAATAGGTCTAACTTGGAATTATATAAATATTCAAATGTTAAAATAAGTTAAATAAATAGCTATAATGCAATAATATACTCACATTGCAATATGTTTCAAAAGTACATTTTCTGACCCAGAAAGCCATTCACAATGTATTTTTAAATTTTCTTTTTTTTTATCAAATTACTCGTTCTGGGTTTTTTTTTTTGGGGGGGGGGTTGTTATTGTTTTGTACACTTATTATCATGTATAGCTCTATAGGTTCTGAATCAAAGTTGAGGAGCTGCCCTTATCTGCACAAAGAATAGAATCTAAAAGTTGGAAGGAAATTGAGGTATGTACTGAACCAAGTCTTCTATGAGACACAAAAGGTACAAATGATTTATCTGAGGCCACCCAGCTGAGTAATGGCAGAGCCAGTGCCACAAACTCAGATCTGTCCAGACATTTCTGTTGCCTGCAAATTACAGTAGAACCTTGTCTCTATGCTAATCAACATTAGTGTCTCCACTCAGAAAGTGGAGGTACCCCTCTCGCTGTATGTCAAGCCAAAAAAWTTGAGTAAAATAGTTCTTGAGGATCTCTAAGAGACACACAATAATAAGAAACCTCAACTGCAAACTGCATCCTTTATAATCTTCTAGTATTTTCTACATGTGTCATAAAATACCAAGYCTCTCTCAGGACAACTCAGAATGAATTGGAGAGATGCAGAGTGGAGAAATGAGGGGAAATGACCCCAAAAATGAGGTTGTACTTTGTGACTCATACTTAGTCATTTCTTAATGTGAGCACTCCCCTACATTTAATAACCCCCATCATTCTATGCACCAGAAAAGAATACATCAGCCTCCCAGAAGTTAACTGGGGTCAGCAGCAGCAAAATTAAGTCTCTGTTCTCTTCTGTGACCTAAGTGCAGTGACTCCTGACCAATTTCCAAAGAAACATTTATGGAAGAACTGCAAGGCCACATCCAACCTTGAATCATCTTTCTGCAAGAGCTGTTTTCTCTCCAAGCAATATTTATTTGAAGGTTTTTGATATGACAGGGGGATACAGTCGATGCTTCACTCCTTAGAGAAGCCAAGAAAGTAGCAATCAAGAGTGAAAGGGAATGTTCCGGACGCCCCAACTCCCCAGGCCTCCATCTCCCTGTCACTGACAGAAGCAAACCAGCACTGAGAAAAGCAAGGGCATCTCATAAGGAATGAACGTCTTACTTACGGACACACATGTCCCTGCTTTCATAAAATCCAGGACAACACTGGGATTTGCGCCTATACATAGTTTTTTCCCCATGTCGATAGGCAGTCCGATAACTGATTCTATATAAAGAGGAAAAAAAATCACATGTTAGTTCTTTTGACCCACAATTTTGTCAAAATAAATTTCTATTTTAATAAAAAGAGCTCTTAATTATAATAAAAGTAGGCAAAAAAAGTACTTTCAAAAAATAAGAAGAGGGGTTGGGGTTGTGGCTCAGTGGTAGAGTGCTCACCTAGCTCATTCAGTCTTTAGCACCACATAAAATAAAATAAAGGTATTGTGTCCAACTACAACTAAAAAACAAAATATTTTTWAAAAATTAGAAGAAACATAGAAAATTTGTCTTAACCTATTTTATTCTGACTCCAGAAAATTTTCTGAGATTATGTTGTGATTCCTTAAGTCAACCTACATTTTAAGGCTACACTTTATTAGAAGTTTCATGGTTTCCCTGCTTCATTTATCTTGAAATAACTTGAAAAGTATTGATCAATTTCACATATGATACCTGCCTAATCATGATTTACTTACATATGTTTTAAAGAAAGGACTCRGAGAATTTCTTTAAAAATCTCTATGCAGTCTCATCCCACTATAAAGCAGAAGGCAAATAGATGCCTTTCTAGTTAACTAAAGCATCATTCATTCACTGATTCACATATATAATGCATGTTTATTAAGCACTTACTATATTCCAGGCACTGTTCTAAGAACTGAAGAAATGACAATGAGCAAAACAATACAAAGTCCTTACTCTCAGGAAACTTTCACCTTACTGAGGGAAGACAGCTCTGGTAGAATTTGTTTAATAAAGATGTATTTTAAATAGTTAGGTCATAAAATGGCTGGYACTAATTAAATACGGAGTCAGGGAATAGAATTTGACAGGAAAGGAAGGCTAGTTTAGGTAGAATGGTTAAGGACAACTTATGTGAAGAAATGACATCAGGTATAACATCATTCAGTGCAGTATAAGCCAGCAGGTGCCAACACTTGACTCATAACTCATACTACTATAAATACTTTACCTACAAAACTAGGGTATCAGGGTTCCCTTCTTTAAAAATACTAATAATAACATTTAATAATAGTTTTATTTTGTTTCTACAATCACATTACTAGAATAAAATATAAAGTCTATTTTATTTAAGGGTCAAATTTAAGTGTAAATTGAGCCTGATGTTCAATTAGAAACATGCTGAAACATGAATCTCTTGCTCTCTCTAGTGATGTCCATGTTTAAGAGTGTCTCCCCCAGTCATGCAAATAAAGAAGCTGAGTGAATACTTGCTGAACAAATGATGGTAAACAGCATGCATTTCCTGTAGCTGTCAGTTCCCACCAGGCATGGGCCATCTCTCGGCCTTCCTGTATCAGGAGCAGGGCTAGGACAGTAGTAAGCCCTCCATAACTAGCCACTGAATGCATAGCTGTGCATTCTCAAGTAACTGATACCTAAGATGGTATCTGACTCCATTGCCAGGTAGCCAAACTCATAAGCATATCTGAGTCTTCATTACCTGTGCCGTGTGCATTTAAACCAGTTTAGGATGTCAGTGCAGCTGGTGTAGTAAATCTGATCAAAGGGATGCGGGTATGACTCTTGCACAGTCACTGAATAGCTGGGGAAAAAAAAAACAAGGAAAATAAAGTATCCATATTTTTTCCTTTTTACAATAATGACATAAGCCACACTATAAAACAATTGTAGGCTAAATTGTTTGCAATTCCATACTGACTTTTAACAGAGAATCTCTATATTTTCATAGGATTTTATTTGAACAAGAAGCCCCCAAAGACCAGTATTAACAATATCTTTCAATGACAAGACTTCATTCTGTACATTTCAAAGGAAATCAACTTTCACTATTCGCTATAAACCCAAATATTCACCAATTTAAAGCATTTCACTGTATTTTATTTTTTTGTATTTAATTCCCTCCCCTTATCCCAGGGCTCCAGGAATAGCAAAGGCCTTCCACAAAAAAGTTTTTGATTTACTTCTGCATGCAGATAATAAGGTTAATCAGTGAAGAGACAATTCAAGTATTCATAACAGAGTACATTTGCTACTGATTCTGAAAAATCAGAAAGAACATTTTTCTCTGGTGGGAATTTGGAATAATTTGCTTTCATGTTCCTGTCCTACTTCTATTTCTCAGGCAGCAGAAGAGAATACACAACATCTAAATAAAAACTACAAAAAAAAATTCTTTAAACTTAGCTCTAAACATATGTCTGAGTCAATTACTCTGAAACAATCATACCAACAGCTTGTTGCTACTTAAACATTCAGTTTTCTGACACGTTCTCACTAACAGCTTCTTGTTAGAGTAAAAACATACAGTCTTGTCAGCTCCAAAATGTGAGTGGATTCCTTCCATGAAATACAAAGAACATTCAATACTTGGTCCCATACTTCTTCATTTTAAAGTTTACTACATACTCAAGAGCTTAATGTCTCCCTACAAGAAAACCGGGAGAATTTTATTTTTCTAAACAGTTTATTCTATTCGCTTTAAGTTTCTTAAAGATTTCCACTAAAGTCTTCATGCTAACGAACAAAATGGGCCWTAATTACAGACCCACTTGCAGCAAATCAATAGCTCAAGTTCATTAATAGGAACTATCCACTAGAGAAGGTATGGGGGGAATGAGGTTGAGATTCCAGCATGAAGAGTTCAGGTTAGACAAATGACAGAAACTTGTGATTTAAAAAGCTCTGTGGTGCTGGCCTCACAAACAATGGGTCTTCTTTCYGAAGCTGGCTTCTGGTAGCTTTTATATAGTTAGGCTTCAGTAGGAGATACATGAAATAATCATACTATACATGTTTGTATATATTTCATTTTGGGGGATAATGCAATTTGATTTCTAGATAAATTCATGAATCTTTCACAAATATTAGGCAAAAGAAAAAGGTCTTATTAAAAAGACCACTGGCTTAGAAGGTGAGGTCATAATCTGACCTGACACTAGGAACTGGATGACCTTCAACAGAAAACCTCACTTCCCTGGGTCTTAATTATCTCATCTTGACATAAAGAGGTCAGACAGTGTTGAAGATCCCTTCCCATTTGGAATCCTAAATTTCTAACATACAACCTATATTTCTACCCCAGCAAAAGATCTTTGTTGCTACCAGTAAACATAGGTTCACACGAGAATAGTTTGTACAACTGCCTGTATACTGTGATATAACTCATTTGGAGTAAAACAGGAGACCTCTGCTAAAACATTAATGTTCTTGTAATTGTTTCTCACAAGAAGCTATTGATATTTTCCTCAGATCCAAAGCAGTGTCCTGAGGTTCCGGTTGGTGCAATTCTAAGCCTTGCATGTCAATAGTTTTTTCCTGCCTGGCCAGCTACTTATAGATAACTGAATCTTGAGACTAATTGTATCAACCTCTTTTGCATTAGTAGTGGTGAGTGAACAAATGTTCTATGTCTGGACCTGATGTATAGGTGCAGTCCTACCAGCAGGAAAGAGACTTCCCACCACTCTGAATGAATCTGGTGAAAAGCCCTTCTTCCACCAGGCTGTGAGTACAAATTGAGCTGAATTCAATCAGTTTGTTGGATCTAGACTAGATAGAACATTCCCAGAAAGTTCCAAAGACTATATTATTATATAAGACTATATTATCCTGGCCAGTTCCATTTGAAATGGGTGGGAGAAGTGATTCCATAATCAAACATGAAAAACATTTCACTTCTACCAGCCATGAAGATTCCTTAAATAAGGGGAAATGTTCAAGTACATTAATTTCCTCATCTTGCCACTTGTTGCTCACTAACAACACACATTTCACAGGATGCCTCGCTGGTGTAGGACATAAACAGACAAAATAGGAGAAGTGTGCCAAGCCTCTCCAACTCAAATTTCATTTCTTTTACTTTTTCATACATTCTTTTCTGTACAGAATTCTTCTCTCTCTCTCTCTCTCTCTCTCTCTCTCTCTCTCTCTCTCTCTCTCTCTTTCTTCATTTTTAAGGGTATTATACTGCAAAATTTGGAAAAAAAATTTAAGAGGCAGAGAACTCTATAACTTTTAAATAACCACCAATACTGTTTTGCTCTGCTTCTTCTTCTCTAGGGTTTTTCAGTTTTTAGTTTGAGGGTTTTATTTACATTTTTTCCATATTGTAATCATGCCATGCCTATATTTTTGAAACTTGGCTACATCATAAGCATTTTTCATGTTGGTAAATATAGTCTTCAAATGATGATTGCCAAATGTTCTGTAAGTGACTTTATCTAATTTGCTCAATACCCACCTATCACCAGGCAATTAGTTTGTCATTGTTCAGTGGGCCCACTTGCTGGAGGCCCTAAGTTTGCAGCATGAAGACAAATATCTTTGATGCAGGCTGACCTCCTCTGATCATCACTGCTCTGGCCAGTGCCTGGCTACTATTTRAACTGAATTAGCTCCTCTGCTGACAGTCCAGGGAACTCTACGTTCTTCAGCAGCTGCTCCTCCAGCCATAAAGTGGGAAGACACCTTCCCACTGTCTAGTCTACTCTGGTTTTTGTGGTAAATGAGGTCTCAGCGCTAGTGAGTCAGCCTAGATTCAACACTCACACCAGAATAACCAGGCACCATCCTACCCCTGTCACCTCTCAAATGTCACCATGTAAAACACTGATTTAGAGTCTCTAAAGCAGACAGTGTGGAGCAAACTGTGGTGCAAAAGGAATCTGATCCCAATTTAGCACTATTTTCAGCATTAGAATGCAAAACTCCTTATTTCCTGGTTGTTTGTTGAATCTTCTCAAATACACTGAAAACATATCATCATCATGATTTTAACCTATTAAGTGTCATCCAGGAGAAACCCCAGCAAGATTTAATTTAAGGTCAAAAAATCGGGGTGGGGAGAAGCCATTACCACTTGGACACATTCCAAAGTGGTTAATTACATGTTATCTGCCTAAATTATCTTGTTACTTTAATCAGATATGGTAATAATCATCATTTCTTAGCTCACTTCAGTACTGCTGATTCTATTATTACCACTTCTGTATTAGTAATTGAACCTTTGGGCAAAGAGTGGTTTCTCTTTCTTAGTGCCTTTTTGAGAAGAATCCTCACCAGATAGAGGAGCTCCAATTCACAGAATAGAAAAAGAGGATGGGAAGGAGGAACAGAGAATTTCACACAATTATTCATTTTCCAAAGGATGTTGTGCAGAATTCCTTTAATCACAAAAATGCCTGTGTATTTTTAATGATTTCATTTTCTTTCTTTTCATTTTATGCACAATTTCTTAGACTCACAATTGCCGCATTCAAACAAGGCACAACTCTATTTGAAAATAAATATTCAGATATCAGTGGGGGTGCAACTAAARGGCACTAATAGAAGCATTTTTGTTTGGTGCTTCTCAAATTTAATGTGCAGACAAATCCCCAGGGGAGCTTGTTAAAATTCAGATTGTGACTCCATGGRGCTGGGGTGGGGCCCAGAGTGAGTTTCGCATGAGCTCAGGACCCAGGTCCACAGATCACACTGAGAAGCAAGGATCCGGTGATTCCATGGCTCTGAACCATGGGGCACAGGTGACTTTTAATATTAAAAAAAAAAGGCTACAATGACCCCTACTACCAAGAATTGTATTCTTGGAGCTAATTTTCTCTCCTCATTTTAATTCAAGCCCATTTTGAAAGTACAGAACCTATCACCTGCACCTTTATTAGATCATTTTAATTTACCTTTCTATACCTTTTTCATTCCTTTAGAAACAATTCCACTTTCTTTTACCTTTTMTCTAGAAATCATTAGTCTTAAAAGAGGAACCTTATCAATAAGACTACAACTTGAATCCTTTCTAGCAGTCGTTTTAAAAACTCATTTCCCTATTTCTCCCCACTCAAAGAGAGAGTTTGCCTTAGCCAGTTGTGCAACTGCAGAATTACATGAAGTTTAAAGATTACTGTGCCCCTTGTCTATCTGTCATGATCTCTACACCCCATCCCAATGGATGTTTGTATTTGGTCATCTCATACACTACTAGGAAGTAGACTCACTCACTTGGTAATTATATGTTGAGCCACTGCCACATGCAAGGCAGTGTTCTGGAGAGAGGGAAGGATCAGGGGTAAACAGAACAACACAGTATGTATTGACAGCCTTGGGAAAATGTTGAGCAAGGAATCAGTACACATTTTGTACCTATAAGCAGGTACTAGATTATTTGAAGCCTTGGAGTTTTTTCCTCCAATACTCTTTCTTTCAGAACCTATTTGTTCATATCTCATCATGTTGGCTGCTCCCATATCTACTATCCCAAACACTTCCAGGCCCATGACTCAAGCTGTTTTTTTATGAACACAATATGGCAAAAACACACTCTCTTCCCTCTCAAACACGCTCTCCTTTTAATTTTCCCTATGTGCAATGAACCTCTATTCTTTCACACAGTAGGTGCTGAATTCCGGCAGACCTCTTGCACATCCTGTAGTCAATGCATCATCAAGATCTGTTGATTCTTATTTCAGAACATCTCACAAACTTGACTTTTCCTGCTATCATCCTCTATGAAATTAAACAACCAGAAGTCTTTCCTTTTTCTAAATTTGATATGTACCCACTTGAGTATTCCTAAACTCATTTCTATTATTTTAATATTAATTGCATACTCTCTTAGTGAGATGACTTAGAGGAGGTTCTATAAAAATCATAAAGATAATTAATAGGCTGTCTTCCTCTTCAGTTCTACATAAAATAGTTAATATCACAAATGTGTTATACACATATTTACAGCTTAACATTTCATAGTGATATATGACTTCATCGATGGAATGAGTAATTTTGTTTTTGTTGTCCTTATTGTGATACTATCAATGAGAGGAGGACCAGGCCTTACCAAAAAGTAATGCTATGAGGAAGGAACCAGARATCCCAAAGGAGAACACCACTGAAGTGCTAGAAGAACCTCTGGACTTTGGGCTTCCTAACAGCATGGACTTTGGGCTTCCAAACAGCATGACAACAGATGAGCTCTGGTTTGCTAATTATGGTACTGAGGGTAACATGAAAACCAGACCAAGAGTTTGATATAATTGTACTCCCAGCTAGTCAAATACATTTTACCCTTTAGTACTTAGCACCTTCAATTTGTTTGAAATGCTTGCATTCACATTGTTATTTTTAGATAAAGATAATTTCTTGGGAATAAAAGTAATACATAAGAACAGAGCAGACTCTATTTGTGCTACCAATCATGTTTGTCCTACATATCACCAATCACTTGTGTTACTTTTGGTTCCAAAAGGAACATAAGATCCCCGAGGTTGACTGGTTTTTGTATTGTTGTTGTTGTTTRTTTGTTTTTGTTTTAATTTTTGTTTTTTCGAACTTCTGTGTTTCCTACTGCAAATTGCAGAAACCTGGACACTGCTAATGTTGGGCAAATGTTGAGCAAGGAATCAGTACAAATTTTGTACCTATAAGCTGCTTTCCCACAATGCATCCAATCTCCCCCTCCTCCAGCACTGTACTTGCTGTGGGCACAGTCCTAATGGTCCACAGCTACGGGTTTCAAGCTATCTTTGATTCCTAGAACTCTCCCAACCATTGCTATCCACTCATCTTTCAGCTCTTCAAGAACCATCTCAGTGGAAACCATTCCCATGAGCCTTGCCCCATCCTCCAAAACTGGGTTCTCTCTTTTTAAGCCATCAAAGGCACAATTTTTTTATCTCATACATTCCAACACTGTAGTGTTTTGTTCCCTGCTGCCTCACGCTGCTCCCTYATTGTTCCCAAGCATAGGCCCAGCTCTCCAAAATTACTGCAAATAAATTCAGAGAAGGCAAGACCTTAGGGACTTCATTCTAATTGAGGTATTAATGTTTTCCCCAGGTCTTCAATTGCACCTGTATTAGAATCAGATCTATCAAGGTTTTTTTTTTTTTTCTACACAATATATATTCTATAAGACCAAAGTGAGTAATACTACTCAACCTATTAGATATGCCTAATGATTTTTACAGAAAAGCAATTTCACAGTCTCYTTGAATTCTAATTTTATATGTCAGAGTGATAATGATAATATACAGAGGAACTTCTGGGCAATTATTCCTCAGGCTGCTTTGAGAATGGTTACCTTTCCCAATGGCTGCACACATTAGGGTCTTCAAGATTCAGAGGCAATGCTGTCTTAATCCAGTGGCACAGCAGTAAACAGACAAGGCTCAGGCATGAATTCAAAGAAATAATCATTTTTTTCCTGAAGAACAACCTGCAAAAAAAAAAAATAGAACTGCATTAAAATCACCCAAACAGAATTCTTTTCAGTAGAGTAATCACTCAGTACCAGTTGTCTCTAGGGCTGACACATGCATAACAGTCCCTGTATTTAAATAGCCAGGGCACTAGATTTTGTGGTTCACAAAAGAGAGGTGTTTCTTATGTTATGCAGAGTGCCTACGGAATTTTAAATCACTAAAATGTGCAGATCATCATTAATTACCACCACCACAAAAGCCCTTCTCATCCACGCCAGCTGATTATTAAAGGAATCCACCAGAACAACACAGAGCTTCCAGATTCTCTCACCAGGCATATTCCCTTCTGGAAGAAGAAGGCCCACAGAGAAATCTGGCCTCATTTGTCCTAGAGAATAAATGATGAAACAGAAGCTCCTTTGACTCCAAGAAAGGCACCTCTGGCTCAAGCTGAGAGACATTCAATAATTCTTTCAACATGGACTGAATGCCTACCCAATCTTAGGTGCCATGAGAAACTGGTTACAAAATACAGAACTAGTCCCCTTCCCTATCCTTTAAGATTCTTATAATGTATTGATTGTGACATAAATATCTTAAATGCACTGCTTCAGGTTCTCCATTTGCTGAAAAGAAGCTATCTTGTAGTGGTTTCTGCAAAAATAAATAAATAGAAAAATAAAAGGTGTTTAGAGGTCCATTTTGAAAAAAACGAAGCTAAAGATCATAATCAAAAAACAAATGGCAACATATTTGGAAGCCTGGAAAACAGGTAAGCTGGCAAAAGAGAGGAAAAAGAAGAGGGAGAATGTTCCAGACAGAGAGATCCAGGGGTGAGGGAGGGCCAGGTGCATCTGGGGAACTCAAATCAATTTATAGCAAGAGAAAGGAGATAGTTGGAGAAGAAGACTGGGGGCATACCACAGCAGGTCTTATAAGACATTGTAAAATATGGAACTTCATCCCAGGATAACAGGGAGCTAGTAAAGGGTACTGAGTGACACTGGAAAGATGACTCTGGCTATAGGGGACAACAGGTCAGATGCCAGGTCAGATGCCAATGTGGTGATCCAGGAAGCAGAACTGGGCTGGCAGGGAGCTGAGTGACTCTAGGAGTCTTTTAAAAGGTGGAACCATAGGACTTGGCTACTAAATACAAGACCAGGGGAAAAGAAAGACTTCTGGTTTAGTCCTGGTGGAAATGATCAGTTGTTCATTGAGATTGGAAGCACAAAACTCTCCTCCTCTGGGGAGGGAAGCTTCAAGTTCAGTGTTAGATGAATCAAGTTTGAGGTTTCTATGAGGTATTCCAGTAAAGCCACCTACAGGAATTTGGTGAATATCTACTATTTGCCAGGCACATGTATGTAACAATTGTAATATCATATGCACCTGGGAATCACAAGCATTTCTTCACCTCTTGGAAATTAACACTCGGAAGGAAAAGCTCAATTGTCACACTGTGTCATTGTAAAAATGGACATCAAATTAGAAATAGCTGATCCATTGACCAAATTACAGAAAAAAAAAAAGCATTAACCTGCCTGTTGTGAAACTAATAACAATGGGGCAGATTATTTGACCCAAGCTATCATTTCCAGACTTTAATTTTCCATACCATGAAGTTAACAGTTCTTAGTATTTGAGAATCAAATGTATTAAATGATAACTTTTTTATTTGAAAAGATAATATTAAATAAATAATAAATGAAAATGAAAGGGAAAAAAAACAACTAGGATGTAGTTTAGCCTTCAAATTCAGGAGGACAGAGTGAACAAGGAAATAGTAAAATAAATTCTCCAAGATCAAGACTGCAGAGAAGGGCAAGTATTTTAAATACGTTATGGCAAATTATTTATCTCTGACTCCACAAAGACTAAAGTAAGAGAAAGTGATTTGGAATAAAAAAGTATCTGAGTTTGTAAGATAATTTAAAAATAGTGTTAGTCATTAAGAGAAGTTGTGAAATCTTTAGGAAGCATATTCTAATGCAATATATAAAGCATAATTAGCCAAAATATGACTTATAACATAACTGCAATTATTGATATTTCTCATTGGCTTACATTAAAAAGTTGTAAAATCTGAAGTTTAACATTATGTAACAAAAAAGCTATTCCATCTAACTGGAATGAATTAAAAATGATGATGAGGAGGAGGAGAATGATAAATAATGGCTAACATTTCCTGGCTTATTATTGTGAGCTAGACACAGTACTGAGCTCCTCATGAACTATCTATTTAATCCTCACAGCTTGCCCAAAAAGTAGGGGTTTTATTGTTCTCATTTTACAGCTGAACACATGTAATATATGCCTAGTGTTTCCCTCATCTGTCAGAAAAAGAAGACATTTATTATATTTGGTTGTAACAAATAAGCAGAGCAAATATATCTCTGTCTCATAGCTTTTCTTTGCCAGGGTAAGCATTTTGTTTCAATGAAGTGTGAAATTCATATATTAACTTTCATTCTTTCCTCAAAGACAAAATGAAGGTTGGTGAGCAGTAATCTGCTATCTCCTCATAAACAATTACCCCAAATTGAGGAGTTTATTTCCTGAGTCACCATCTCAGATCAAACCATCCATTTACCAATTAGAAATGTTTAGTCTGTAAAGTTAGAAATTACCCCCAAGCAAATAAAACTGCCAAGGAAAACAATGAGACTGTGTGATCTCTCAATGTAAAAATTGTGACACTAGACTTCCAGTTTCTCTTTTTGCTTTGCACCTGATGCAATGCTTGTGAAAGTGGGTGGCAGGAAAAAAGCAGAATTTGGTCACCTCCTCATTGCTTTTTAAATTCAGCATGTAGAAATGTCAAACTGCATCACAAAGTCACAGGTGGCATTTGTGGAAGGGAAAAGATCAGTATGTTAAAAGATGTGTATATGTAGAGGATAGGAAAGGCAGCAGAATACAACAGACACTAGTATGGCAGTATGTAAAAACATGGATGTGTAACCGATGTGATTCTGCAATCTGTATACGGGGGAAAAATGGGAGTTCATAGCCCACTTGAATCAAATGTATGAAATATGATATGTCAAGAGCTATGTAATGTTTTGAACAACTAATAATAAAAATAATAAATAAATAAATAAATAAAAATAAAATAAAAACAAAAGATTTTAAAAAAAGATGTGTATGTGTGTGGTTACCTATATAAATTTGGTCTCTTCATCCCCAAGCAGTTTATTAATTAAAATCAGAAAATTAACTGAGTTCTAGAACAACCTAAATTAGAGAATAAGATGTCAAAAGTAAAAGGAATGGCTAGATCAATATACAGGGATCAAGCAAACTCATGTAAGATGGTAAAACCGAGAAAACAGTGCAAATGTTATAAACGTTGGAAAAAGAAGACATCTCACAAATATGTTAATAAACTATACCTATAGAAACACAACATTTCACTATAATAGAAAATGTAGACTGCCCTTTTGTTCCATATTGTTTAATGAAGGCTCTGATATGCAATCCAACAGTTAACAGATAAAATAGATAAAATTACATTGTACTCTATTTTATTTGTTGTCTTCTATAGGTGAGCATGCTTTTTCCTTTAAGCCTGATTTGGTGAAGGAAAAGTTGAATATGTTTTCCCCTATTTCTGTCTTCTATGCTTTCATATAATTTTCTACACTAGAGTGCAAATAAAAACAAAATATAATTTTTTAAAAACAGCATTATTTCAATTGGAAAAAAGCAACACAGTAGTAATGTGCTTCATTAAAAAGAAATATTTTGAATATATTCAAAACTCTAAATTGAATATTAAGATACCCTCACCCACCCGGTCTTCATCGTCAAATAATTTTCCTTATGATTCCATTTAACAAAATTTTAAATGTAAAAAATATAAGTCATTTGCATGAACCCCCTAGTGCCAAACTTGATTGCATCCCAGATCATTCACTTAATTATTATGAAAAAATCAAAACAGAAAATCAGTACAACTGATTAGCATTGCTAAAGTGCTCCTATTAGAAGAGGAGACACAGCCCGAAGAGTTAACTCTTCCTGCCTTGCAGCTCCGCTTGGAATACAGGCTTGCTTATGCCACCATAAAAGCCTCCATAATCAGGTTGAATAAAATCCTTACAATGGATGAGTCTGGTACTCATAATAAACAGTATTTTCTTTATCAGTGTGTTAAGGAGAAATAAATAACAGGGCGTCTGCTTACTAATTTATTTTGCAACAACAGAGGGATAAACGATTCTAGGCAATTCCTTTTGGGCTCTAAATTCGATCACCTTTCTAAAACCATTAATTGTACACATAGAAATAACTAGGGTCCCCACATCCAATTTTTTTCTCAAGCTTATTACCTATCTCCAAGATCTTCTCACAGTATTCTAGATTAAAACCAATTTCTTAATTAAGAATAGCCACTTTTCCACAATCAATTTTCCCCCCTGGATGCCAAGAGCCATCTATTCCACTTGGCCACTCTATCAGGCCTAGAGAGGCTGTGCTACTTGCTTCTCCTCAAACGACTCAGACAGGCTGCCCAGGTGGGGGAGAAGGCAATGTGCTGTTCTTCCTGAGGCTTCGTGCCTATGAACATGGTGTCCATAGTTCAGCTTCAGCATATCAATGATTAACTTTTTCTGATTGCCCTGAGAACACCCTCAGATGAGAACAACTATGGAAATACAACTTTGCTGATAAAAGGAATCCTTGAGGCACAGTCATGATTTGTATTTTCACCACTCAATGTGTGTCACTCAGCTTTGTGCTAACAAACCAATTGGCTTTATTGCTTTGGGTCTGAAGTGTCAGGTGCTCAGGTGGGGAAGGCCTGTTTACCTCATGGCCAGGTGTGACAGAGAGAGGAAGGCATGAGGTCCCACTATCCCCTTCAAGAGCACACCTCCAATGATCCAAAACCTCCTTCTAGGACCCACCTCTTAATGTTTCCACCACCCCTTAACAGTACACACTGGGGAACAGCCTTTAACACATGCACCTTTGGGGAACATTCAAGATCTAAACTAGAGAC